CAATAAAATCATTATAATAATCTCTTTATTTACCATTTCTATTCCTCAATTCAGCACTTCTCAGCTTACCAGCCACTACGGTGATTGGTCTGTTCTTTGTTATGAATCCAGACCCTGGGTAGTGACTCAGAATGTTTCAGAATTTGCTGCCATGCAAGTTAAGAGGTAATTGTTGTACAGTACAGTACCACATGCTTCATAATACTGTAGCTATTAAGCAAAACTGCCATGATCAAATATAAGAATGTGTGGAAAATACTTTGAGAAATTGAGAACAAAAATTTTCTTATAAACTATGTTTAGGGGTAGTAATGGAAACAATTAATTTGAACTGTGCAAGTTACTAACTGAAGGCCATCTTGTTTTTATTAAATTTAATTGAAATTTTCAGAAATTTTAAGCAAAGTTTAAGTTAATATCATGAATGACTCATGTTAAGTTCAAAACACGGGGAGGAGAATTTCTTTAAAAGTAATAATAAAAATAATAAGCTCAAATTAAAAAATCAATACCATAGAAATAATTTGACAATAATTAAGTCGAGTACAATTGAAACATGCATATAACATACTTTCAAATTAAATAACGGGCTTTTATTAATTTTCCGAGTCTCTCGAATTACAGTACGATTACGTACAGAACTGTGAATAATTTTACTACTGTAGTGCCACTGAACTGTTCACTTTAGTACTGATTAATGATTAGTATAATGCAAACAGATGAAGACCAGGACAAGCACAGAATGTCCATCCAGAATACAATTAGATAGAATATTTGATACTAAACAAAATGAGAGTATAATAACAGTATGAGATTCAACAACCATCTCATTTTAACAGAGAGATAACTGTGCTGAGGGATGTGTGGCAAAGAGAAGAAAGAGTTGTGGGTCTGGTGAAGGAAGAAGTTTTGGTCTGGGTATGTGGAGGGAATGGACACGGTACTTATGGATACAGATGTGGACATGCGTGAGTGAAGTACTTGATGAAATATGACCAATACTCAGCCAACCTCGCTCATCTGAGGACTGTCACATTACCAAACTATGGATGATGATGTGAAGGATATTAGTGCTATACTGTATAACAGAAACTAACAGTAAAATATATTCATATGTCAAAAAATCAATTAAACAGCTTATAAATGTCTAGTAAGGAAATTCAAGGTTGCATATAAAGAGGCCTACAAAAATTCTGTGCTTTACAAACATTGGATACGTTTTGCATAATCCTGTTGATAACCTTGGGTGGGACACTGAGAAACTTGGGTGGGATAGGTGTACAGTTGTATGGATTTACAGGTGCAAATTAGTATGCTCCTCTGTATACATATTTCAGGCATATATATCTTGAACTGTATCAGGGTCATAATAGGTGGAGTAAGGTTCAGCATGTAACACTTGGACATTGGGAAAAGATCGTTATGTGGTTGACTGATGTTGAAACTCCGAAGTGAAATCCTAATTTTCAAGTTAAACATTATGGGAATGGTGTGCTGCTGACATAAAAAGTGATGGGAGTAAATCAGAGGGAAGTCTTGGAGGCCTGATTATTGGAAAATACCATGACAAAACATATCTTTTACAGCAGCTAGAATGAATGAATGGCAGCAAATGAGGAGGAGTCTGTGTTGCTCTTTATCCCGACAACTGATGGCAATGTAAAAAATAAAGACAAAATTCCTTCCCCTCTAGATTTTTTTTTAAGTGAACGAGAGAGCCTCACACGTTTTCACTTTTCAAGGGACAATGTTATAATACTTCTTTAAATTACCTTGTACAGTTCAGTCACGGAAAAATGTCCTGTCAGTTCTCTGACCTGAGACTCGTAAACCTGTGAATCCGAGAAATCACACATTGTTAGGCCCAGAGATGGTGCGCTGGGTCATATGATGTTTCGGAGTCGCAGGTTCCTGAATCTTAAGGTTCATGGATAGGACGGAGGACTGACAGGACTTTTTTCCATGAATGTACATCCAGCAGTCATAACTGGCATCTGCAATTTCATTACATAGTCACCTCTGCCCTATTGAAACAGTCTCAACTTGTCATGAAAATTACTTAAACTTTAAATAAACTTAACAAGAACTCCTGCATGGCATATTTTAGGACAATAAATGGGGGAATAAATTTTGGAAAATGAAAAATAGTAAAGTTAATAATTAGAATAATATAAACAATGAACAGAGAGGAGCAGTGGCCTTCTGACCCAACAATAGCCAGTTTGAGGCCCATGGGAAGCCAGTAAATGGAACTTACCCGATTAACCCAGCTGCAGAATGAGTAAATAACTTTATATCAAGGGAAGTGAAAGGTAATAGAGTGCAGAACTAACCACACTGTCTCCCTATGTACCAGAGGAGTGATCTTCAGTGTGAATTACGGTAGTTCCTCAGTCTTATGCATGAGTGAATGTGCATGATGATGGTACAAGCAAGATGAGTGGCGATTTGTAGGATGAGATTTATAATATAATACAATGGACGGCAGGAGGGGGGATATAGACAGTGCAAGAATATTGAAAAATGTGACAGCTTATGAAATGGCTGACCAACCTTAAAGGTCACAAAAGTTTACTTACTGCTGATATAAGTCATCCAAGAAACTGTGCCAATGGACTACACATAAAAAATCATGAAAATACTGATTAGAAATAAAGGCATTACACCTGTACAAGTATAATGTTTACAGAGACTAAGACAGACGGACCACTTATGGTAACACACTTCTTTCTCATACAGGCTTCATCACCATCATGACTAACTAGAAATGGGGGAAGTGAAGTAGTAAACAAGTTGTTATAGTCTAAGACCATATGAGTGAAGTGTGCTAGGAAGTTATTAATACAATGGAAGAGATGTGTATGAAACTGGATATTCAATCAGAGATGAAATCTCACTGAGGAATCATATGAGAACAAAATGAACGAGTGTGAAGCATTCAAACAATGTAGAAGCCTTCATTCACTCTGTCCTGTTCAAATTGAGTTGAGGGTTTCTCTTACTTTAATATTATTTTAGTACAGTATTTTGCAACTTCATTCAGAAGTTACAGTCTCTGCTCTTTAACATTGTGAGTTTGTGATAGTGGTTTAGCATGAACTAGTGAACTCGCCAAGTCTATTAGTCCATGGCTAATGATCTTTTAAAATAATTAGTCATACCTAATATGTGTACCGCCTCAAACAGTTTAGTAACGAGCTTTCTTGCCATTCATAAACTGAGAATGTTCTGTGTCTGATAAAATGAATAAAGTACTTTAAAGGAGTCTTAGCTCTTTATAGTTCATGAAAAAGACTACTGAAGGGTGTTAAATTCTCTACAGAAAGGACAATGTACTTGTGAAAGTACAGAGTGCTCTCCAAGATATGAACAAGAATCTTTCATCAGCTGAATTAGTGACTAAGAAAGTGAGGCTGCTGGACAGACACTGTGGGTGCACGGAGGAGATCTTAACGTGCATAGGCAAGGGGTACAAGGGAGTTGAAAACATGGCAATTTTCAAGATGGGAGCATTGGAGGAATGGTTGGGAGAATCCTCGCACTTAATCAAGAAAGGCATTCAGAGGTCTGACCACTAATGCAAAAAATTTGTGATTGTACAGGGTTGTTAGAGACATGCAACACAATTACAGTATTTATAGGCAGTGCTAGATGAGTGAGAATGGCCTGATGTGAACAGTTAAATTGATTTGGTTTATTGTGGGTAAAGTTGCAGTCCTTGTACAGTAGAAAATATAATCTGGGGTGGAGTCAGAGGATGTGTTGGGTGAAACAGACTCATTTATATTTTACGCATGGCACAAAGAGGGTAACTAACCACACTCAGCAGACATAGCATTTATACTACAAAAATAAAAAAGTTACTGTCTTCTGTTTTATAAATGTTTTTATGGTAACATATTAGTTTTGAAACAGATTCAGATGAACTAAATGACATATCATCCTCCTGTTCACCCACTACTGGCTTGAAGTAATTGCTTATCTTTATGTTCTTTTTACAAGGAGGAGACATGATGTACACGTTTTGTTATAAGTGTTATCAGTAATATAAACCAATAATACCCAGCTAGCAGCTGGGTGAACTGCACACTTGACCTGCCCTACACTCGTACATACAGTCCATATGTTCTCTATTAATGTTTCAGTTGCAACACAAGTGAATTAAGCTACATTAAATACAGTAAGTGCATTAGGCTAACTCGAATGGGGTCGAGCCCCAAGGATGTCAAATTAGAAAGGTTCGAATGTAATTATTTTTGTAAATAAGAAATTCGGTAACTGTGGTCCTTTCATCTTTAATACTGATTGTAATATGACAGTGTAAAGAGAGTCTGTATTTGCATTTCCCTTAGTTCCAGTTACCCTTCATCTATGTAGAGAGAAATGTTTGCCAGAGAAAAAACTTCCCAATCAATACAAACCTTGTAAGGTTGATATATGTGATATATAAAGTCTGAGTGTCACGGTAATTTCATGCTTATAGCAGCACACTTAATATAGTGACAAAACCGAGAATTTCAGTCTTGCAATCAGAAAATGAATGACAAAACACCTGCAACATGACTACTGACTGTATCCAAATTAACCCATCACAGAACTCTTCTGACAACACTTAGGCGACTGTGCGTAAAAGGTGGCAATGAGAGGTGATGGGACAGATCACACAACAGGGACATTGTAACAGGGAGAAATCTAGCATGCAAATATTATCAGGGACAACTACTGTCTATTAACAGACTGGGTGGTTTAATCATGAGGTGAAACATCAAATAAGACAGGCTGTTGACACCAATCTACTCATTATTATTTTATACACTAAACTAAAATTTTCATCAAGAATCTAGACGAATATTTTGAGATTCAGAACAAAATTTACAGCCAATTGCTCTGTAGCAGAAAATATGTACTAACTGCACAAATGATATTATTGTTGGTGCTTGTGAAAGATTCAGTGGTGCTGGTGGATAGCCAATTGTTGTAAAGAAAAACAACACTAAAAATTATAATTTACTAAATAATTTTAATCCAAAAAAATATACAAGGGTAACTAAAATGCCAGGGCAAACTAATATAAAATATCTATAACCTAGAAACTGAAAAAATGGACACATAAGCTGCTACTGAAAGCCAGCTGCAGCACTTAAATCAAATTTTAAGAAAACAAATTCATCATTTATACAAAAGGTGAAACAGAACATGCATAGCCTAAACTTACAGGGACACAGTAACGTTCATCACTAATTACACTGACTACACGTAACATTGTAGCAAGCAAAATAATGAACTCAAAATCAGTCATGCATAGCTTACCTAGTTAGTAAGTTAGCTAACAATTTCCAAATTTAAGTAATAATAGAAAGGTGTATTATATTCATTTTTATTCACATAAAAAATAGCTTTGTTATTAAACACAGACCTGGGTTAGTAAAAACATCTCTACACCATCAACTTAAGAACAAGGACAATATACATCAGTCACATTAATATTTCCCTGACAAGAGTTCAATACAATACCTAACTCACGTACACAATGGAAGATGTGTCAAACTCCTATACTGTACTGAACTTAGCTTATCCAATATTGTAAAACCTTTTAAACATTATTTCCTCACAGACTAACAAACTTCTGGACATACACACACACACACATACCCACACTCACTACTCTACATGATACTATACATATGCACTTTTCAAAGCTCCCTCAACTTTCAAAGATAATAATATGATTGCAGACAGGTTATGGCATATAAAAAAGTTGATACCTGTGGTTAGTCAATTTGAAGTTAAGGCAGCTTAGAAATGGGTATACTGTACTGTAGAGCCCTTTAAAAGCCATGTATTGGCCAAGAAAACTTTCACGCATTCGCATTTCCATTCAAATTCATGTACAGTACTGTTCAGGAGACGTTCCCGAAACCACTTGCACCTCCGCGTATCGCTTGGGTAATACTCTTGAAACCATTTGCATCCCCAATCATCTTGCAACAATTCAAGTAACCATTCCATTTTCCTGGATGGGATTAATAATTTCATTTGTCAAAGATGATTATTATAGAGTACTATGAACAACTTTGTATACAGACTTGGCACAAGAGTACAAGGTAGCATGGACATTAATTCATGACCTGCAGTAAAAGCTCACAATACCTCACCTAACCTACCTCTAACACATGTTTAAAGAATCAGTCAAGGAGCAGTGGAGAATTCTAAAGTCACCCAGGAAAGGCAAGCATAGAGCTGACTAATGCAGTTCAAAAGAGGGAGGGGGGCAATTTAATACTTGGTGGGTTTCTCCAACTAGAAGAAATAGCATGCTTCATCAATAAGTAGTTAAATGAGTCATAAAATCCTCCAAACTGAAATAAGACACAAAAGCAAATGTACTGCAAATACACCAAGTCTGTACGCAACATTACTAACTTCATCTAAAAAATTTGTAAATATATCACCCTGCCTTCCAGTCACTATAGGGTAATGGACGTCAAACAATTTTTATACACTTTGTCGCGAGTAAGGTGCCCAAATGACGTTCCACTGGGCCAGGTCAGGCTACGCAGGATGCTGAACACCTAGCATGCTGGGCTTAAGATCAAGTAACCATTAAAGCAAGTCAAGGGCACTGGTCAAATAGCTCCCAAATCTGACAGATCCCCAATCCTAATGGTTCTGTTAGGTTAGGGACCATTTAACCTGCAGCCCAAGTCAAGTACATGGGAGGGGTGGGAGAGGGGGGTAATAACTGCCAAACTTAGGATTATAATGCCCCAACTTCAGGCAAGACTACGAAGATTAAAAAGATAAGAAAAAAAAATTAAAAAAATAAAAAAATAAATAAAAAAATAAAGAAGAGCTGCACAGACTCCGATTTGTTCAGTCTGAAAAATCTGATATTACTACTTGAGAAACATTTTGATAATGACATGCAAAATGAGAATAAACTGGCAACACATACTTATACATTAGATTGGCAAATAAATGTATTAATATGGGTACCTTATGCTTTTCTTCCTGCTAGTGTTGTACTGTCTAGCTGCAGCACTTTCAAAAGACACTGCACAATATATTGGGAAAAGTTCTAAGCATATTCTATTGGATCTAGAATAATTAAAATATAGAATTGGAATGTCACTTTTGTTTTTTCCAAAGGTATTGTAGTACCTAAATATTTAGCACATTTTTTATTATTTATTTGTACTGTGCAGAGTAAGAAAGGATTTCTGTCAAAGAGCGTATGAACATGTGATGTCACACACATGGATGAGCCAGACTATAGACATGGTGAGGCCCAGTTTCACATCTGTGTATGACTGCCTAACTCAAACCCTTGTATATCTCTTCATCTGTTGGCAGTGAGACCTGAGAGTAAAGTCCAGGGATCATAACATAACAATGTCATCCCCCAAGAAAATATAAAGCATATTCATTACATGTCTTTAAGACACACAACAAACTACCCTCACTGAGGGCTAACATAAAGGGCACACCATGAACCCAAATTTAGAGTTGCATAGTTTGTTGAGGAATATTTTGTTCTGCTCACCCATAAATTTATATACTGTACTGCACACCACAGCTTGAAAGGTATTTTTATCTGCTTACCCATATTTTGATATACAGTTCAATTACTACTGTTATGTAAACAATTGAAGGGAGAATCAAGCTAAAAACTATTTTTTTAAATGCTAAATACTGGTCAACATCTCTTGACACCAGTTTCCCTATCGTGGGATAGAACGCTCCCAGAAATGAAAGATTATGTCTCAAAGTTTTTCATGTAAAAGCTCTAGGTGTACCATTGCTATATTTAAAATTCCACTTGCTGCACAATGTTCAAAGATTCTCCTGCATTTTTATAATTTTAAAAAACTTACGGTACTTAAGTTAATATTCTTAGGCATGGCTGGATACACAACAACAATAATGGTGGCTAATTAAATTACTTTTAAAACTGTGGGGGACAACACCATTTTGTTTAATCCCAGGAAACATCCTTTACGGTACGGTGATTCTGCAGCATCACCGACACAACAACTCTGAATACAGTATTTATATTCAAGATTTGCTGAATTTTTCAATGTAAATATTGATTCATTGCAACAAGTAACAGTGCCATTTCTTGCTTAACAAATGCACACACTTTTACTACAGCCCACGAGGATGCAACATGTTTGTGAATCAACAAGAAGACAATACTTCATACAAGGTACTGTTTGGGATACTGAATCCACTGAGAAATTAACATCATTAACATAATTTGGACTGAAAATATGTTAGTTTTTAAGCATATTTGCCACATGTAAGATCTTTTCTTAGCAGCAATATCTTAAAAATGTACCAAACTTTCAACCCAAACTAATATTATGACAACTGTAATACTTTTCAATGAGGTGTAATAAAAATGATTCTCACACTGATACATGTGTGGATGGCCTTGATATCGACTCTTCTCTTAAACTGCTTATTTATGGCACTAAAGTTAAGTTTCTGTACACACGAGAAGAGCGAGGACTCTACACAGTCGAGTTATCTTCCATAATTTTACTTTGTAGTCTATGGCTACTGCTGCAATAACCAATGGCAGGCCAGCAGCATTGTCACTGCAGCCAATCATGCACTAGAACTGTAAATTTAACTTTTTATTATCAAAACTATATGTAGCCTGAAAACACATATCATAACATATCTAAAATAACCTTATAAAAACATTCATCAACCACGCACACACTTTATACACTTTGTCAAACAACTTGCAACATTTCATTCTGTGAGAAAAACATCGGCATAACGATGAACAGTCACCATAAACATAGCACACATGACAGGTTACAAAGAATTGCGGGAGTGTGTTGTAGAACGGGGATTCCTCGGAGTAGCGGCTGAGTGTGGAATTCTGTCCCGAGTAGCAGAACCGGGCGAACTGGATGAGGGAGCATGTGGAGAAGTTGGGGAGTCTGGGGAGGGTCTTTCAATAGTCTGCTGGAGGGCTACAGGTGTTAGCCACTCCTTAGGGAGGCATCGTTGAAGAAAGGGTACACACGACGAGACATACGCCAGTCGATTTACCCAAGTGGGGATTTCTCGACCTACCAGAATCTGTTGAAGAAGTTGTCGTGACAAACAAGTAATGATGTATGCATACAGTATAAACAACTATACACAATCAAACATCAAAGAGTTCCAGTTCAGACAAGTGAATATATGTTCTTGTTCTCACTAATAAACCTCTTGACCATTCATCAAATACTGTATTAATACCGTATAACCTCAAATCTAAATTAAAAACTGGCCATGAATGTTTTACATTTATAAAAGATAAACTTTGTTAACTGCAGAAGCAAGTTTGTGTGGGTTATCTCTACTTGTTGTTTCAGCACTTATCTGTTGCTTTCTACACTTGTCTTGCACCGATCTCTCCAGTCTTTTAAGGTTTCCTTGGTCCACCTCACACACGAGTGAGAGAGAAGTAGGGATATTAACAGATACTGTACCAGCACTCACTTTTTCTTTTAATGCCAACAGCAGAAGAACTAAAACATGATGGTTAACATCATAGGAGTCAAATATATACAGTGTTGAAAGGATAAAAAAAGGCAAGCAGAAATCAGGATCTAATAAGCAGTGCAATTTGAATGGCTGAATCCAGTGAAGGAAGGTCAGAATAACAAGCAACGCAGATCCTTATATGCAGTCATTTACTCTCCCTCCCACAACTTCTGTAAAACATGTGTTCTACTTTGGTGTTTACCCCTTCTCCTTCCTACTTTGTGTCCATCCCATATTCAAGTGGCAGTAGTTGTCATGTAACAAGTACCAAGAAAGTCGGGAAAGCTCTGACACTAATCAATTTGCCTCTGTCTTCCACATCCTCCTTTCCTATACAGTATACAATTAGTACAGTAGCCAGAGTGATGGGTGTACAGGTATTTTGCACAATTTATTTAACTTAGGAATATATTTGAAGCTGTTTATGTTATGGTACAGTAGTAAGTTAGTGGTTGCACATGAGGATGGGAAAGAGTTGTTGAGAAGTATTTAGTATTTTTATTGGAAGTATCCCCATTTTCCCATAATGTTAACCAGAGACACTTGTACATACAGAGGTAAAATTTTCCCCTTTTCCGTACATTTTTCGAGATAATAAAGTCCGTAATATCAACGCTTAATTTCAGTATTGTATACACTACATATATATGATTAATGTTTACCTGTGTGAGGGCGGAGGAGAAGTGATTACAGTTTTTATTCATCAAATGATATCGATCTCCTCGAAAATCTTTGCCGAGCTCTGCTACAATTCGCTTCGTATCATCTTCAGTGAAGTCTGTGTAACCTAGGTGGATGCTTTGCCTGTAATATTGTAAAACCTGATTATAATTCGTGAGTTATATTCCATCTCTCAAAATGCTATGATACGTGTTCTGCCATGGTGTACCCCTTCCATAAGATATCCTCCTCATTTATCCCTGCTACTGTACTGTACTTCAAGTATACAGTACAGTAACACTCGTGAACAGGGTCTTCATCCAACCCCTAAACATATCAAACTAAGAAATAAACATTTTCTGAGACAAATTTGGGCATGTTTACAGGAGATTCATTGGGGTCTACATGTCTAGTCACAATCTATCACTCTTTATTAAAATATTGTATTCAAAATTCCTATTAATAATAATATGCCTTGTACACTTACTTGAATTTAAACTGATCTCCAAGATCTTCAGCATCTCTGGGAGTGATCTCAAACACGCCAGAGAATGGAAATGGATGCCCGCCATATGCAAATTCTGATAAATAAAAAGATATTATGGAAGATCACAAAAATACATTTAATTTCATACATAATCTAAACAGTTCATTACTGCTGTATGACCTATCAGGATGAACTTTAAATAATCAAACAATGTAGTGTACAGTATTCAGAGTCCGCCTCTTGAATACCCTTTCTTTCTACCAATTTTAATTTGCTTCCTTAAATTTTTTATTCATATTTAAAGAAGCTGCAGTTTTTATAGTAATTCATTAAACTGTTCCAATTATATGAAGCATAAATATACAGAAATTAGTCTGGGTAAAAAATGGAATCATAAAAAATAAACAGAGGTGGAAGGACACAGCAGTAAATATCAACAACTGTGCTGTATAAAATAAAATTTAGGCAACCAACCCTCAGGAAATTTCATAACAGACGATCATCTGGGCTATTCTTGTACAGTATTCCACCTCCCCCCCCCACACACCCCCATTGTAGGACCCTCTACCTAACACACTTATTACACTGCCTCTACACAAGTACTTTAACATCCTATCCTGAGTAATGTTGTATAACCCTTCTACAGTTAGCTAAGGTTTGATATCTTCAGTGTGGTATCTCCTATGGATATATACCGATAAAGTAACCTTTTAACCTTATTCTACAACTTTGGCTTATCATCCTGCACTTACCTTCAAGTAGTGGAGGTGATAAAGTGATAATACTATAAATACACCGAACACACTTATCAGGATGACTCACTTGGCAATACTGTATGAGAGGAAGACTTTACACAATCTACCCGGTACGTGTCTTCCTGCCTCACTTCCTATATATAATATGCCCCTCACCACCTTCTCCTTTTTGACCTAAAATACAAGAGACTTCCATGTGTTAATACAGGAACTAATCTAATAAACTTAAGAGGTAAAATTTGAAGGAAAAAAATCCCCTTGCAGAAACACACTGCCTTTATTAACAACAAGTGCTGTACATTACCTGTGCCGTATATTTCCACACCCGAGTGGAACACACCGAGCCCAATGGAAGATGTGTATTCATTTATCCAGTACTGAAAGCAGAGGAAACATCTCATATAGACACACACACACACGTGGTATAAACACACTGTACAAACTCCCTACAGTAATATAAATCACAATAGGTGTGACACAAAATCAGTGAAACTAGTAACAGATAACTAAGCCTTAAAATAAACCTTACTAGATGTACTTTCACAAAACTAAACACATCATCGACATAACCAATAGCACATTTTTTACTTAAATCCTAGAAGATAATTATGTATGGAAGCTTAGTACATAAACTAACATGAGTTGGTATTTCATCATCTTGTTCCTTCCCTCTTATCATGTTTCTCCGCTTTGTTTGCACCAGCCTACCTTATCATTAACCTCCCTTGTTTGAGACTTCTTTATACTTTACTCCACATCAGACAAAAGTGGGGGAATAGATGAGATAACAGCCTCATAAAACTGACTGAGACACACAAAACTTATGGCCACGTAAAAGGAAATCTGACAGTGATCTAATCATCTTCTAGCACCCCCTCACCCCCCCCCCTACCATACAGTGCTGGTGTAATGAAGTAAAAGTTTCATTGAATACAATCTGGAGTAGTGGCCATTAGGTGGTGCTGAGGCAGGAAGGGAGTACCTGTACAGTAGTTCCTTTGTCAACTCCTGTACTGTACTGTATATTGCTCTTGGCAGCCCTCAATATTTTGCTACAGCTGATTTTAGTTATTAGAGGTACACTTCATTATACAGGTACTCCTCGATTTACAACCACCCGGACATACGACCGCCGCAGTCGTACACATTTTTTTTCAAATTACATGTTTTCGAGTCCCGACGTTAGTGATCACGCTGAGTACTGACAAAATTTTCGTTTGTAATTCCCTTTAAAATGGCTGGCAAGCGTAAAAGTGAGTTCTCGTGGTGCTAAGAAGAAAAAGAGACACCCATTTTAGATTTTCTATGTATTATTTTCGCATTTTAAGACTTACGACCAATTCGACTTATGACCTGGTCGTCGGTCCCTAACCCCGTCGTAAGTCAGGGACTGACTGTAAATACCTTTTCACTTTTAAAAGAGGAAACCTGTTATTCTGCTAAACATAACAAGATAACATAATCACTCACCATATCATACACGTTGAGGATCACTGGTTGACGGGCCATATTGGTGTATCCGATGTCGTCTGAGTCTTCTGCTGAAGGCCCCAGACAACTGGCAAACGGCAGGCGACACGACACTGTTCCTTCCGACATTCATAGAAAACCTGTCAAATAAGGGCAGAAGTGGAACATTGGTTCCTACTGCAGCCCTTAAGGCAAACCTCAAAAATACAAATTAAAAGCTTATTCAAACAATAAAGGAGAAATGATAGTGAAATGACAACTGTAAATACATACAATACAGTACAATACATACTAGCTTCTATTATATGTTAAGGGCAACAAATAATTGACATTAAAATAACTAACAACTAAACTACACAAATCATAGCTGTTGAATTATGCCTCATGCCCATTAACCTCTGTAAGCTCATTAATGAACACTTGTAATTTTATACATCTCTTAATACAACACAAAACAAATAATTACTCTATATAAACTTTTTGGAGATACCTGTACTGTACTTCTTTAAAGATACAAAAAAGAATAGCACACTTCCCCTTGTAAATAAAACCCTTCACCTAAATAATATTAAACTGATTTTAATTTAACATACTGTACGTGTATTGTATATGGTACAATTTGGATCCTATAGATACCTTTACTAACTCATCTTGAGGCACAATGTTAAGTAACATGACTATATTCAGCAGCTACTCAGGGTTTTCACTTTGAGCCAACTAATGCTTTTACTGTAGTACTGGCCAAAGTGACTCATTCAACTGCTGCCTGACATGTCCATATTGTTACTGGGACAAATCTACACCTGTCTTCAAAATTCAAATAGAAATATTAGTAACCCAAACTTAATTAAAGTCTAAGCATGTCTATATTCCTCTCATTAATCAGTTGTTATAGTTTGTCTCATTTTGTTTCATGAGTTACAGTGAGTGGAAACCCTGTGTGCTGGGGCAAAATATCAAGAAGAAAAATTGCAAATGTCCTAAATCATCACCATTGTTGTTTTATGGCCATTTTCTGCCCTTGTGTGGGTTAGCTATACACTATACATACTGTACTATACTATATACAGTATACAATAAGCCCTATATTAACTGAGTATTAGTCCAGACATTAGATAATCACAATACAGCTACCTAATATAAATACAATAGACCAATACCTAGTCTTTCCATTTGAAAAAGAATACCGTACTTGATGTTACTGATAACTAGAGAATATTAAAAACATGAAATATACCGTAAGTTACATAATATTCTCAGTTACTGTAGTGTAATGATGGGGAGAGAAAAGTAGTGCCATAGTATAGTATTTGGGATGAGAAGCAATTTTAAACGTTAAGGGAGGAAAAAACTCAATTCTAAGTAGGAGAGAGAGAGAGAGAGAGAGAGAGAGAGAGAGAGGATGACAGAGGTGTAATGTACAGAGAGCAGGATATGACATGGGTTACAGGAAGGGCCTTGTTGGTAATATGTAATGTTGGGTTGTAAGAAGTAACAACAATCAACCAGATGGAAAGCCTGAAGTCATATTGTAGAATGGAAATCTGTCACAGCGCAGCAAACAGAGAGAAGGAGTGACAGTTTTGAAGAGAGGTCTCAGTTGTTCTAGATTCCTGCCTCTTTACACCATGGGGGGAGGAGAGAGGACTTTTGAAACTGGAAAACAAAACAAAATAAGACCAATACCCCAGCCCAGAGAACCAGCCATACGAGATACACAATGTATTTCTCGACTCACACTCCCGTAATACGTGACAATCATACAGTCGTATTATTAGGCACAATAAATTATTTCCCCTCTCGTAAAACTGAAGAAACTCCTAACTAATTCTGATGACCTTAGATCTAAATAACAATCATACCTAACACAACCAACATAATACTGTACATAATTATCAAGACTCGGCTGAGGTGTGGTCAGATTCGGTGCCGAATAATAAAATTTCCCGCCACAATCAGAACCTAACCCCCATACTCACAGTACATTGTCCCTCTGGGGATTTAACCCTATGACCAGGTCCTTCTATCCCTATCCCAAGGTGTTCTAGTATAAATATTTTTCTAACGAGCAATGACAAAAATCTACCATATTTCTATCACTTAATAATCAAAGGTAACTTAACTTTCTTGACAGTTTACATAAAAGCCAAATTAACTTTAAAGCAATCAGAATCAATCACAATATTATGGTTCAAATATCCAGTTGTATTCTATCTAACACAACCTAACCTAAACATTTAAGAATCAGGCTACACCAAACCTAACCTAAAGCAATCATTTAAGACATAATCAAACACAACCTAAACTCTCACAAGATCATTTAAAGGTTTAGTTGATTTACATAACTCAATTCATAATTGATTTTCATACGAAGTATTTGCCTTGTTCTACCGCACTATTAAGCTTCCATTCTATGCATCCAAACAGACTAACACTGAAAATCCCCATCACAAAATAAAGTGCCACAAATAAACTCAATATTAACCATTAATTTAACATTTTAAACCATATTTATAATCATTTATACAATAACACGAAAATCAAGTTATTCTAAATACACTAACATTATAAACAAAATAATTTTTGGGTTATACAGGTATCTAAAAATAAATATGAACAAGGCTTCTTTGTCCTCAGATCTCAGCTTAAATCACCACAATATGAAGGTGAACAAAGCTTATTATATACCTTCAACCTTAAGAACTACAGTGTAATATTATCCTACACGTAACCTCAATTCGCCCTTAACGTACACTAACCTAATCTAACCTCACAAGCAGGATTTAGGTACACACACTAACGACCCTAGACGACCTAACTACTCACTCGTCCATTATATTAGTAATTAGAGCATTAAATGGCATCCTTCACAGAGTGTACACAAATCTGCTCAAGCCTGTGATAACCAAGGTCGTGATCCTTTGTTCCATATTTTGCCAACCCACCACATTTATGTAACTAGAAAACACCTCACCTGTCGCCCTGGTAGGGGAAAATATCCTATATCTCGACATAAGACGCTCCTGGGACTTGAAACAAAAAAAAGACGGGGAAAATTTGGTGGTGACGAGGCCTCCCGAGCTCCCGGAGGACATCAACAACACGGATATCGCCAGATGGCTAGTGTTGGAGAAGACCCACGAACTACTCTACGATGCCGTTTATTTTTCAACTGACATAATCTAGGCAAACTTCTACCATCCTATCTGAACTATAAACTTATTTTATATTTTTTCTATAAATTTATATTCCAATCATAAACTTCATAAGAAATAAATTAACAAGTAATAAAACAAATAATGGTCCCGCGGTGATGGTTGTTGTACTATCATAACATTCATCAACAACACGGATATCAACAAACGTCACATGGTCAAAGAAAACGGGACATTTAAACATTATCATCCTACTTATATTCAACAGTTTGGGGAATAACTAACAAGGTTAGTTCCACTCATTATATACAATAATGTAATAATAAAATATCTAAAGTCATTAATTAAATAAGATGTTAGATATAATAACAAAATATCCCTCAACTCTAATTTAAATACCCCGCTTTCCTGATGTAGGCGGTATATCTTATCAATAACTTCAATACAGAATTAAATAAAGATATAAATAAAATCATACAATATCTATTTCATAATTGTTCTTTATAGTATTTAATTAATAGTTTTATTTATTTAATTTATATAAGTTTGTATTTATTAAAGGTATATAGCCGTCGCCATCTTGTTGTTGTAGAGGAGGAGGAGGGAGGTGTGTGTGCAGCTCTAACTTTATTTATTACGCCCTTGTTCTAATGTACTGGTGAGTGTCACAGCTCATTCATACTCGTCTTCACCTCCCCATTCTAACTCAAATGTGTTAAGGTTTGATAAGGAGGATTTTTGAGAGAATGTTCTTCAGTTTGGCTCCATCTCCAGGCGCCAGTAGTTATTAGCCATATAGATAGATGATTATGTGAAGATTTTGGTAAATATTTATGTATATCTGATGAAGAGGGAAGCAGTTGATGAAGTAGACCACAAACTTTTGATCCCCCGTCACTAGACTATCTTCAAAGGGTAGAATAAACGTGAAGGGTGACATAGCTTAAAGCCGGGGTCATTATGTCACACAGTTTATCATAATATTTTTAATGCTAGAATAATGAGTCTATTTATAGTATCACCAGTCTTTATTTTTATATTAAAATAGGGTTTTCCTTTGATCTTTTATGAGAATAAATCGTGAAGTCTACCTCCGAGATTATTATAAGGTGTTGGGAGGGGAAGGCAAACCCCAAGGGATTCTATCAAATGTATCAAACTAAAACACGAGAAAAGATTGGACCAATACAGTCAGATACCGGCGAGCTACCTGATAATGACGGAGAAATGAGCAAGAATCTGAATAAATATTTTTCAACAGTTTTCACCACCGAAAATTTAAACATAATGCCTGAGGCACTGACTCTATACAGAGATAGCGAAGAAAATAAATTAAGTGAGATTGTAGTGACTAGTAACGACGCTACCTTAATCTGTAGAACTATTGTGACTGCCAAATATGCTGTTCTTCACACAGTGTACACTGGTTACTATGCTTTGGACAAAGAACTATATTCGGTAATACACCCTGTTTTATATATAAAAAAATTGCCTCACTATTTTTCTGGTGTAACTTTGCAATTGACGCAAAATAATCATTCTCACAATGTCGGCACAGCTCTTCCAACTCACATCTCCACTCCCGACCCACCCTTCATTGTTCATTGGCTAAAACAGAACAAAAATTGCCCAATAAAAATACTCATATCACTATCGCCAATAAGAAACTCCCACTTCATCTCCCCGCACACGCGCTGTAGACGCTTAAGAAGAACACGGAGGTCTGGAGCGATGCGTGAGGGGGTGTCAGACATCCTCCGCCAGATGTTAACAAGACATGTCGACACTTGTGAATGAGCGAAAGTAATAATCTTGAAAAACTAATATCTCGGTTATCCTTAATTTCAGGTGGAAATATTATAGAAGAAAAATGTCTTAGGATTGTCTAAACATTACAAAATACATATTAATAACAGCGAAAGAAAGACCGGTGTAAAATTATGAATTCAACAAATACAGTAATGTAATTACTAGGCTTCTTACATGCTTAAAGACCTTTATGTATCACTCAAAGGTAATCAATAATGTTCAGAAGATAACTCCATATCAAAACCATACAGTGTTATAGTGACCATGTTGTAAAGCCGATTTGTTAAAAGCTCTCACACAAACACATCCTGAGTGAATACCTTCCGATACAGCTTATACTTTATTATTGGTAGATTGATCACTGATAATTCTGTACTGTATATTAATCAGATTAACACACACACACTGACATGACCTTACCTTAAATCTTTAGTCATTTATCCCTGTACAATACACATCGTGAGTACAAACACAGAAACAATTGTTTTCCATTGAATTTCTTTGTTATAAATTGTGTATCTATACTTCATGCAAAGGTTGTGATGGTTGTGTGTCTTCCAGGTAAACATGGCTTCAATAAGTAGTGAGCAGCAGCTGCGCTTCCGGTGGAATGACCATATGCAGCATGTATCCAAGGTTAGTTGACTGTATGTATGATCCCTGGCAATGTATTTTTACTTACCTTGGAGGCATGGATTGTCAAGTCAAAAATCATCACACCATTGAAAATACATCCACTCTTGTCTCACTCTTGTCTATCACTGTATCATTATCTGGACCTTTTAATGTTTCTCTAGGGTCGCCAGGACCACAGACATTTAAAAACACTTACCTTGTCTAAGCTATCTTCTGGGAATGGCCAGTCACGTGTTAATTATTGAATTTCCACCACAGGTCCTTACGCTGCAGAGGATGGAGGAGCAGTTTTGTGATGTCACACTGGTGTCTGAAGATGGTTTTGTTATGAAGGCCCATCAGGCCATTCTAGCGTCCACCTCCACATATTTTCAGCGAGTGCTCTCTGAAGTGACCTCTGATCAGCATCCAATGATTGTGCTGCGTGGAGCTAATTTTCGTGAGATAAGCTGCTTGCTGGACTACATGTACCAGGGAAACACACAGGTGAGACAATCAGCATTTGTTTCCCTGTGAAGCTGTTGAATGAAAGAAATTGTCACTTGGGTGGAAAATATTAGGAACTCTTTCATATTTTTATTGGTGTTGTAGAAAATATGTTTGGCTTGATCCAATAACATTGTCTTATTATTTCAGGTGGATCATAGCTTAATGGAGAAAGTTTTAGAAGTAGCAGACATGTTAGAGATCAAAGGTCTTTCAAGAATTCGTTCCAATGCCTCCATCAAGAAGTTTATGGGCCCAGGTCCCTCACCAAATAGCACAAATACTGCCTCCCTGAACATGCCTTGCACAGATAACATGAGAGGGAGTTCCAGATCACCTGAAGAACAGTTTTACCGAGGGAACCAGCCAGATACAGAGGGAGCACAGGCGAGGTTGGTGGGTAACGTTTGTGACATTAGAAGTTCCAGAGAGACCCCACACCTACCACCAGACGGACCACCCATGTCTCGTACACAACCTCACGCCTCGCACCACGAGTCAGACCCTCAAGATAATGAAGATGTGACTCAGACTTCGGGCATTGATTTGTCGATGGCCAAGAACGAGCCGTGGTCACCGAGGGAGGGCGAGGCTGCTGCTCCTGCCAGTCAGAAGGATGATAGTGAAGATGATGAATTATCACTTTCAAAGAAGAAAAGAAAACATGTAAGTAATTGAACATTTTTATTTCTGTATATTCAGTTCATTCAAAGTACAGTACAGCAATTAAAAGTAATTTGGATCAGTTAAAAAGTGGAAGTAAAGTAGCTACAGTAAACAGCAAAAATACTTCTTTTTTTTATTTTTTTTTACTTATACTACAGTACTCTTTTGATTAAACAAAAATGAAGAGTAGATATTCTAATTACAGTTTTGGATTTTAGAAAAATTATACATTTGTGATTAACTGTACAGTACTGATAATATCAGCATTGGCATACACTAGACATAATGTCCACAATGTTAAAAAAATACTTAGTCACAATTATATGCTGTACTGGATCATGTACAGGTTAAATTAAGGGTCAACTGTACTTGTACACCTTCCTTATAAGCTTAAGAACTAAATGTTCATTATTACTCTTGTTGCAGCAAGAGAACCTGTGCTTTGAGGAAACTGTTGATCCAGTGTCTGACCCTGACTGGGGACGCATAGGAACGAAGGTACAGTATGTGTACAATACAGTACTATACATGTATTTCTATGTATTGTTGATCCTTTGCTGGTTATGAATATTTCTGTTATGGTTCACCATTGATGAAAATGATGAAGATTGCATGAATCACTGTTAGGTATAGGTTCGATGTGGCAGAGAATAACCATGCTACTTTGTGTGGTGATTATTTACTACAGCTTGTATTAACAGTTGCTGGAAAGTTAAGCTGTGTAACACATTTTAAATAGTTGATGTCTGTTGCAGTTTGAGGAGAGTTCACGTCAAAACCCACGAACCATCAGTCTCACCTCCATCACCACCGCAGATACTGGTAAGTCTCTTATGTTGATGTATGGATCATGTGTTACCCCTCTGTACAATCACGGGAAAAAGTCCTGTCGGTTCTCCTTCCCATCCATGAATCCTAAGACTCGTGAACCTGTAAATCCGAGACATCACACAATGTTGGGTCCAAAGATGGCGCGCTGTGTAGTGTCATGGATTCACAGATTCTTGGAAGGGATGGAGGACTGACAGAGATAGATCACTTTTATCTACACACTCCTATGAGTTTCTTTCCCAGAGCACATCACAAATATTATTTTACTTGCCATGATAAAGTTCCTCCACAAGTTAACATATCAGGGACATTGTGATTTTAATATTATTTCCTTAATTCCATCAGTTGAGCTGGGATTTTGGTGACTGTTCTCATATCACAGTATTAATATTTAGGGGTTCTAAAAGTTAGGAGTGTTGATGTGTGTGTGTGTAAGTCCATATGTGCATCTGACTGTTAGTAGGATGGCATGAACAAATGCAACAAAAGAGAAGTATTCAGTAATCGCTACTTTCCATCGTCATTATCCAGTTATGGTCTCTTGTATTTTACTACGCCAAGTGTTATATAACAATGACAGTATTTAAAAAGTGTTGGGGCCGACTTCATGCTGACATTTACAGTGAAAATTACCATCTCTCTTAATCATCTCTATTAATGAGCCACTTTCTAATGTTATTCCCAAAAATATTAAACCAGGTGGATATCTTCAGGTCTTATTTTTGAAGGGATAAAGCAAAGCAGTATTCATTGGTAAGGCAGCTAGAAAGATTAAATGACGGCAAATGAAGGAGAGCAGGAAAAGGTTTGCAAGAATGAAGAATATCTGGTTCTTCAAGTTTTCTACTGAGAAGGAAATTTATAATGAAATGTTGATGGAAGAAGAATATTAGCACATGAACCCCATCGTTACCGTTTGTCAAAGCTGGTGTGTTCATGTGTGATGGTGTTGTAAGATTATATTTTAACCAAGGAGTTAGCTCTTGTAATCAACAAATTATAGCTTTGTTAATGCACAGTTTTAGTTTTCTTTTCCAATCTCATAGACCTCTGTTGCTGACTTTACATAAAATGCTTCCATATTTCAAAAGAGCCTGTAAGAGAACTGGCAACTTGACAATGTTATGGTTCAGTCATCCAGACTTGACATTGGCTGTGCTACGAAGCTCATGTTGAGGTTATCCTTTCTGTGAACTGTTCCCTTTTGTTTTGTTTTTGGTGTATTTCCACTGTCCTAAGTACAGTCAGTGACAGAACCATGACTTGTAAAGTTTCCTCTTCTCTTGCAGACTTGGGTCACCATCACAAAAGCCCACCACCACCATCAAAGAGTGAGGATGGAGCCTCGCTTGTGCTTCCCTTGGTGGAAAAAACTCTGGAGGTTCCATGTGAAGATGGTCCACTTACAATCAGCCTTACAACGGGACAGGATCTTGACGGATGGCGAAGTCTAGCAAAAAGAAAACATCTCTTTTACACGTCTCTACCGCTTAAACGGGCCAAGCGGAAATTTAAAGCAAGACGGACTTTAGACGAGGGTAGAAAAAAATGGTTAGCAAAGGAGAGAAGGTCACTTTTCGGGTCAGAGTCCACTGAACGACCAATAACGAGAGGTTTAGAAAGACTGAAGAAAAAGACGCTTGCACCTGTATTGGAGTCTATGGAGAGCGTCAGTGTGAATTGTGATCCACCTTTTCCAACTGAAGAAGATACAGCAAAGAGTAACAGAGATAAAGAAAATATTTTATCAAAATCTACCCCAGAAGAAAATGCCAAAGTTCAAATGGCTGTTAAAGCTGCTGTCACTGAACACACACAGTCCAATGTTTGGGAGCTTCCATCAGACAAGAGAATCACCAATGACAAATTTGAAGAGTCCTCAGAAGATGTGAAATTCCCTGCTATTAACCCACTGTCACTGTTTACCTTACCTCCAGTCAAGGAGAGGGAAAAACAGACCCGGACAACCCTCACCCTGGAGGAGAAAGTTAAGGTCATCGAGACTTTCTTGGATGGAAAATCACAACGTCAGATCGCCCACCTCTATGGGATCGGAAAGACTCAAGTTAGCGGAATAATTAAAAGAAGGGAAGAAATACTCACCATATATAGAGATAGCCTTCTGCGTGGAGAGAAGTTAACGATGAAGAGACATCGAAAGAGTGAATATGCCCTTCTTAACCAGCATCTCATACAGTGGTATCGTCACATGACAGTTGTAGCTGGGGTCAAAATTACTACTGGCATGTTAAGAGCAAAGGCGCTCCAGATTGCCCCAGAACTTGGATACCATGACTTTAAAGCATCGAATGGCTGGCTCGCTACTTTTAAGTCTAATAATAATCTTAAATTCTCAAAACAGAGAAAACCAGAGTCATATAATGTTGATCAAGGGAACTCACAGCATGATAACAGTCACGGGGATGATGACGAGTCATTCTTCGAAGACGGTGAAACTGACAACTCGTCGAGTCACTTGCCTCTCGTAAAGCACCTCGCAGGGCCTAGCAATATTACGACTGGAGCTACAAATGATGATGGCAGTAACTCGGATATTGCTATTAACAGAGGCTCTCAAAATGGTGAATCTTCGTCGGCAAACCCTAGTGATCAAGGAACCTCGTTAATACACCCGGGACTCTCTGCTGCAGGGGTTCCAAAGCCACCTCAGATGGTTAATGCTTCTCTAGGGGCAAATTTAACTGCAGCTGCTGCTTATAACCTATCTCGGGATCTAACTCGAGACCTGTCTCGAGGTGACTCGACAGGAGTGGGTGATCTTTCATCTGCAACTATGAACTCCAGTCCTTTGAATCACCCAGTCTCAGCCCTTAATGTTAGTCGTGCAGTCATTGATAACCCTCTAAGTAAGCCTTCTGACTCGGCCCTGGCCACTTATAAATCTGAAGAACCACTAACTTACGGCTATGATCCACAGAATCGTATGAATGATGCAAGTAGTCGGGGAACAGAGTATAATTATACACCATATGGTTTTCCAGGTAGCTACTATGGTTATCATTTTCTTGGTCAGTATTAAGATACTGTAATCTCTTAATGTGAATGTAAGATACTGTGTATATAATTTATTACTACTATTTATTCTCTTTTTTTTTATACTGCATGTGTACAATGACAAAGATGATAAATACTGTACACCAGTTGGTGGTTGTAACAATCACATGTATACTGTATATACAATCAAAGATAAGCCCCAAAACTAATATTTTAAAACCAATGTTTACACTGACAGTAAGCTAAGCTATATCTCTTAATGTTGGAACAAGCTATAAAGGCAGGAGTTTATCTACATTATAATGGTAATGTTCAATCTGTATGACCTATAATTGTATACAGTACAGTGGTCCCTCGGTTAACGAGCACAATCCGTTCCAGCAGGTTGCTCGTTATCCGAAAAACTCGTTAACCGAAACCATTGTTTCAATGGGTTTTTGGGTAATTGGTTCCAGCTCACCGAAAATTGCCTAAATTCAACAAAAAAGGTAGAAAAGTACACTTACTTTGAGGTGTGTATGTAGAAGGCTCCTGGATGATGATGATGATGGGAATTAGAATGGGGGTGGAGGAGAAGGAAGAAGAGAAGGCATTGGGGTGGAAGAGATGTCACCCCATGGCACCATTTCACCCATAAAATTTTAGCTCTCTTGGTGTAATTCAAGATTATTTTCTTTAAATCAACACCACTGCATTATATATTGTCAATATGTAAAATATATTTCAAAATGACCAATAATTTGCTTGGAAACACAGAAAAAAGCATTTAGTTGAAGAGTCTCAAGCAAGATGTTACCTCCACTGAAAACAGAGAGACTAACGCCTGTCTAGTGTGTTAACAGGCTGGATGGCACGCCAGAAACTAGTTTCCTTACGTTCAATAATTGTTAAAATGACTAAAAAAGTTAATATTAAACTTTTAAAATTATTGAATAGTATAAACTTCTTGATATTTACTAAAATAGTAAGGAATTAAGCCCTAAAACCGATTACTGTATTGGCGGACTAATGCTACAGCTGGTGGACCGCCAAATGCAAGCGAAAACATGTTGAAGTCGGCTCGTAAAAAACTCGTTAATCGTGGGATTGCTCGTTAACCGAAGTTAAGAATCTTATGGAAGGTAAATCGTTAACCGAGGCGCTCATTAACCGAGGGACCACTGTACTGCATTATCATTATCATGTACCCCATATATGTAGTTGAGGAGCAGTTACCACCATTATTCTCCCCAATTACTCATGATGGCAGGCCACCACATCATAATTTTTTGTTGCCTCGCTATATTTTGATGCTGTTAATTTTAAATAATCTAACTTCAAAGCTCCTAGGCATACCTAAACAATACTATATTGTGTATTTCAAACATATGTATACCACCGTCACAAATCAAAGCAGCATTAATTTTAAAGATTTCTCATCCGTTCCTATACTGTATATAGCTCCCAGCATTAACACCCAGGCAACCAATATATCCACTCTGGAAACTGTTGTTGAACATATATGTACTGTATATATATAACAGTACCAAATTTTTTTTCTATTTGGTAAGGGCACACACTGTACAGAGAATGAACAAGTGTTTAGTAGTCTATATACAGTACTCTTTAAATTAGAATACTACTGTATGCCAGAGCAAGTGTTGGCATGGTTGAAAAACAAGTGGTAGTGGTGTCATCTATACAGAAAGCAGTAGTTCTCTTTATCTCCCCATAGAAGAGAAGTTGTGGAAATGACAGTGACCAAAATGCTTTTGGAAAAAATATATTCACACCTACACACAAAAGTCTTTCATAAGCCTGTGAACATTTTATTATTATAGTAAATCCTCGCTTAACGTAGTGGTTCCGTTCCTGACAACCGCAATGTTAACGGAATCAATTTTCCCCTTAAGACATAGATAAAATACGGGAGTTATGTTCCTGAGCCTCCCTTTGCCCCATGAAATACATTACATATACAGAAATTCAATGGCATTTTTATAGAAAATAGTTTATATGTAAAGAAACTAAATCATTTTGTATTGTATTCACTGATGGACGGTGGCGGTGGAGCGGAGGAGGGTGGCGAGTCTCTGATACCTGGTGGGTGGCTCCTCCTTCCTGTTTAAAACCTCCATTTTCGTAGTAAGGCTAATGGTCTTATGTTGCTTCTTCACAACACTAGCATCAGTACCACTTTATTGGTGCTTGGAACCCATTTCGAATGGTTAGAGTACAGTACAACAGTACAGTATTAAGAGCAAACACACTTATACACTCACGAATGCTGTGGAAGCCTAACAAAGACTGACGACGTTGTGACCATCCGCGAGTGAGGGGTAGCGCGGCAAGACGAGAGAGGGTGATGCGCCGTAATAAGTAGTCCGTGACGATGCTAAAAATGAAGTTATATCGATTCGTCGGGACATTAACCGAATTATTGGTATCTAAAGAGTAGCGACGTTATCGGGGGCAGCGTTAAACGAGGACTTGCTGTATTATACAATAGTAACACTGAGAAAATATGGTATTATTTATTTGAATCTCTATGCATGTAAAATTGAGGAATTTCTTACCTCAGATTTGTATATAAGGCAACTGTATTTCACTAGGTATTTTAATCACATGATTTTGGTATTATTATTGGAAATGAGAAACTTGTATTACTGTATAATCGTAATTAATTTATACTTGTTGAAGACATTTTGTTATGACTTGCACCTGTCAGCTGATTTTTTCAAGTATACTGTATGTTCAAGTTTGTATATGTGTATAATAGTGTACTGTACCTGTATGTGTAATCCAGTTGTGTTAATAAAGATTGGGATTGGAGAACTCTTGTGTGTTTACTGTCGAGAGCTTTCCATTGAATTATTGCACGTTGAGCAGGTAGTACAGTGCAGTATTGCCCCTCCTTATCATTAGGTACTGTACTTGGGGTTACTCCTAAGTACCATACCTCCTCATTAACATTACTGTAACACCTCCTGATCACTGCCTAATACAGTACCTTCTTTGATTAAATACTGTTTATATAGTAGTGTCATTATACAGTGTCTTAGTCTAGTATCACAAGGAAAAACATGACTAACTCGACCATACTCATCTTGATTTAGTTGGACCATGTACACTGTCAACAAAAACTTCTTCAACACCTAGGCACTCTGGATGTGAGAAGGAGCAGAATGGGGCTTGTCATCTGGAAATGGTTTCAGATTCTTTGTTCATTTTTCAGAGTGCATAGTGCTTATAGTGTTCAAGAAATTTTTGGTGAGAATGTACATGAATAAGATAAGTACACATTAATGCCTGAGTATATGTGAAAAATGTAATTTAGTAAGAGTACACGAGTAGTGAATATACACAAGTTATATATGGACATAAGTTAATTGAGTACATGTGTAATGTGAGGTGATTACATGGATAGTCTTCTGCAGGATAAGGTTTCTTCTGAAGCATTGAAGTTATTTTTTGAAAGATGAGGCTATTTACTAAAGACTAAAGCTCTGTGGAAAGTGTGATTGTTGCTGTAATGCACTACAGTATTTCCGTGCTTCAACAACCAAGGTCTCTGAGGAAATACTCTAATTCAGGTTCTTATATATAGAACAACAACTATTGAACGAATCACATAGTGGTCCTCTGTATACCTTGAGTACTGTACCTTTGTCCGAGACTACTGTGCACTTGCGACACGGTGGATGATTTGCACTATATTTGTGAATTTCTGTGATATGTTTAGATATATGATTGTATTGTTTTTTAATGTAATTTTACTCTCTTTTTTTTTTTCTTCTAGGTCTTCTGTCAGGGTTGTCAGATAGTGAAGAGCAAAGTGACGACAATGCCACGGGTTACATACGAGCTGTTGTCCACGGAGCCACACGTCCCTTCTCTACTCCTCTCATTCTACCTGCTAATAAACAGCCTACAGCGTCAGATTCACCAAACACTCGCTTAATACGTCACCCATTATCAGCGTCCTCACTGATATCATTAAAAACATCACCATCATCATCATTAGTATATCCAATATTATCATCCACAAAAATATCATCGTCATCATCATCATTTTATCCAACATTATCATCATCTAAAACAACAACATCATCATATGTACCATCATCATCAGTAGCAGCACCCAATGGCCATACACCAAAATTCATTAAATACCCCAGATCTCAGTCCTGTATTCCATTCTCATCAAGTGACTTCACACCTATTGCCTCACAGAACACAAACTTGAAATCAGTTCCTCAGAATGTACCAACCACAAGTTCATTGAAGACTATGCTAGTGGATGAACAGAATGCCATCAATGCTTCAGACAAATCATTAACTGAAGGAAATATACCCCACCCATTAGCACCTGTAGTGAAAAAAAGTTCAGGCGGTGGTAAAAAATCATCTTCGGTACCGCTGAAGTCAATACCAGATACCAAGGCTACTCATGAAAGTCCTCAAGACATACATAGAAGTAAGTTACCATCTTCAGAATGCCTAACACCCTCAACTACAGCCAATTCAGAAGAGAGGTTTGTTTGTGCCTCATCTGCAAGCACATCACTCAAAAAAGTATTTCCTCTTCCACCCTGCACTGCTGACCCTGACAAAATTCATGTCCTTAAAAGAAAAAGACAAAGAAGAATGTCTGTGTCTAAAAAGAATCCAGCAAAGCGGGAGAGACAGACAGTGAACACATCCCTGGACACTGAGTCTCTTGAAACAAAAAACGACAGCCAGACCAATTATGTTAATATACAACTAAAAGAGGGAAAATTTGAGAACAGATACCCAGTGGTGGATGGGGTGATGCCTTCTGAAGGACAGACACAAGCAACTATGGATAATGTGAAAGATGAAGTTGTACAAAAGCCCAGTGAACCTCTTTGTCCCTTAGAGAAGAAGATCAAGAGACCCAGAAGCCATGTAAGTACTGTTCAATAATTAATTTGAAAGAGCTGGTCTTTATCTCTCTTTTTTTGTAAATAGCTATACAGTATTTACTTATGTCATTGTGTCTAATAACTGCAGCGAAGACACAATTATGCATTACTTTTTTAAGAATATATATACTACTGTACTTTAGTGTGTGTAAGTAGTTTTGCTTGTTGTCTTACCTCCTGCCTCATGAGTTTTATACTCACTGAACTCCACAACACTCAAGTGAGAGAGTAATACAGTACTGTATTTATACCTGGCGATACTCAGATAAATTTATATATTTTTTGTGATGGATCAGTGTACTGTATTTATATAAATATTGTAAGGGTTATACTGACTTATTCACAAAGGCTGTGTTATTATTTTCAGATAAAACGCCCAATGAATCAGTACTTGCTCTTCCATAGAGAAATGAGGGGAGAAATGCGTGCAAAATACCCCGATGAAAGTAACCGCAAGATAGCTGCTCGGCTGGGGTACTTGTGGAAAAATTTGCCATCGTCAGAGGTAAGGAAACTTATTTAATGTGCTTATCCAGGATGTGTAATTGTTATGCACTACAGTATGGTTAATTTTATGTGCAGTTTTTATTTCTGTGTTTTGACCCCCCCCCCCCTCTAGCTACTATACTGATGAAAAGTGATCAGAATAAAAAGCAACATATACTCTTACATCATTTCTTCTTTCATATCTGTGTAACAGTTGTGCTATGTAATGGTGTTCTGCTTCCACCCCCAAAGCCCCGAGGTGTTCCCATGGTTTAAAAGTCACTTCATACAACCCAGCATCACATATCAGCTGTCATGTCTATCAGGTAGCTATCTGAATGCAATGTGTCTATGTCTCCAACATTAGTCCTGATCTCTTCCCAGTAGCATCACAATTCAAGTACTGGACTGACTGCCTCTAAAGTAAGTTTATATTTTTTCTATACAGCTACTCCCCGACTTACGACCTACTCGACTTACGACCACCCGGATATACGACTGCCTCAGTCGTACCAAAATTTTGTCAAATTACGTATTTTCGAGATGCATTTAGATGTGATGTGATGTTTTAAATCTCTAATGGCTTATGGATGATCAAGATGGACAGTGTGTAGCATCAGGGCTTTCCATACGGGAATATTAAACTGGCTCTCTCCTTTGGTGTTAATTCCTCAATCATCTTTGTTGTTTTGTCATGATTATATCACCTGAAAAGAGAGGAAGATTAATTTCCTTTGGTCCATAACTAGTGAGACATCCTGTACAGTGTGTTGTATCTGTATAGCCTCTAATGGGTCATCAGGCCTAGGGGACCCACCTACAAGCTTGCCATTGGCTATTTTGGACAAGGTTATGTGTAAGTGTTACACTATGAAGTTTTTTATTCTCTGCTTTGTTCCCTTCCAGAAAGCCATGTGGCAAGCCAGGGCCCAGTTTGTGAAGGAGGAGCACAAGCGCTTGTATCCAGAATATCATTACAATCCCCACGAAGCTTCTATGAAAAGACAGGAATACATCTCAACATTGACGGAACGCCGTAATCTTTATCGAGTCAAGCCAGAGAACAGTGAGGAACAGAACTGAGCCATTAACTGCTGTCATCAGTTGGCAGTAGCAGAACCTAATAATTAATTGTTTTCGTTAAAGCTTTCTTTGTCATATTTACTGTTGCCTTCAAATATTTCTTTCTAAATTTATTTGAGCTTAATCAATCTGATATCTCATAAACCATTTTAGACAATGCCAAAGGAGAGCATAAAATATTCTTATATCAACAGGGTACAGTATACAGTATATGTATGAATTTGGTATATTTTAACTTTCTTTTTCCAAGGATATTATGAACACCTCACTTACCATGATATTAATTGCAGCTACAGTATTATTGTTTGTCCATAATGATCTAGGAAAAATTAAGTGTTCGAAGCACATACAGGTATCTGTACAACTGTTTCCCGTTAGAAAACTTTCCCGGGTATCATACATTATTTACCTCTTACTATTGAGTGGCATCCTGCAGGAGCAAGAATAATTTTAATTTTAGTTTTCTTTATCACATTAACACAGCTTGTGAAGGATTAATAGTTATCAAGCGAGAAACCAAAGGAATTACCCGGAATGTTAATCATTTTTTTATTAACTAATTTGGCAATAATATTAAGGAACTTTAAAAAAAATGTTATTTCAGTTAAAAAAAAATCAGTCCCAGGCCTGAGACACCTGCATTTACAGCTTTGCATATTAATCCTGCATTTCTTATTCTTCAAACTTAATTGTCTTTGTGATGAAGATTTCCTGGACAGTGCTAAGTAAACTTAAATGATGATCACTTTTATAAGCATTCCTAATCCATCCTTTTCAGGGTAGATAATAAATGCCCGATAGGAGGATAAGCCATTCTACTAATGTCATAAATTAGCTCCCACTGATCCCATCCATCTACCAGTTATATTAATATTTGGCTTCATGTAAGGAACTGAGACACATACAGTACATATAGAAAAGTCTTGAATGTATTGTTGGATGATATTGGTACAGTTGTCATTCAGTATATAAAGTATCTTTCAGTGTAAGAGGCAGCCATTTAGTAGGTGTACCATCTGTGGGTATCTGGACTTTTCAGGTACTGTAACTACATCCTGTATTGAGAGCTTAACACTGTTGCTCATCTTCCATACAACCAAGTGTGTCAGGGTTGTTTTTGAAAATGAGTTTGGTTATTTAGGTTAACTTGGCATGTACTGTACCAGGATATGTTAATCATGATGTCAATATGTAATGTGCTTTGGATCTATCACTTAAGAATTATATGAGGAGGTATAGAATTTATACAGTGCTAAGATATATATTATTTTAGATTATGTAACCCCATTTAAGAATTTTTTTTTTTTTTTTTTGTGAATGGAGTCGGGCATGATAGAATAATTGTTATCTCATGGTGAGGTTGGTCAAAGATGTGATACTTCATCATTACCTTCTCTCATACTCCCTGTGGAAAAATATTATTATTAGATACAGTGTTACATCTACAGTACACTACGTTACTTAGTTTATGAAGGATATGTTTTAGTATCATGATTCTTTGACTTTTTACTTTTATGAGTTATTAGATATATATTAGTTGCATGAGGTAAAGATTAATCTTGTTTGTGGGCGATGCATTTGTTATGGATAAGTCGCCCCTGAGGTACAGGTAGCGACATTTGTTTTAAGTGAATACTGACATTATAATTTTCATGTTTCTCCAGTTTTCTTCATTTTCTCTATGCAACTGCATGTAAAATAAAGACTATATACAATAATGTACCTAAATTCATCTTCCATGTTTTATCATCCCCTCAGAAGGGGCTCAGGGAAAAGATGGCAGAGAATGAATGTGAATTAAAAGCAAAATACTGTATTTAAGACCTGTGATCAGAAATGAACTCTGACGTTAATTGAAATATGTGTGAGCTGCTTAGTGTTGCTTAAGTAAGTGCAGTACAGTATTATAAATGTACCACAGACATAGAATAAGAAGGTGACTGAAGAATGTGAAACTAAGAGTACACAACTGTTGGTCTGGCATACAAGGAGGATGGCATTGTACAGTCCATGGAAACTGTGTGTGAGATGAGAACAGAAGGCTTGTGTACACTTGTTCCAAAAACTATCATTACCACTACTCCTGTTGCCTCAGTAGGGTTGTCAAAATCCTTTGTCCATTGTGTCATATTGTCTCGCAAAATCGTAAAGATACTTTAGGGAGCGAATAGTAAGATAATCATGGTGAGGTAAAGTAGGAAACATTATTATTCAGGTCTGTCCCTCCATACACACACTAACTACAATACCTTTCTCCTGGTGCCATCCTGAGGAGAATTATCAATGGGCCATTATACTTTGCCCAATGTGCATGTTGTTCAAGATCCTTCAGCAAACTATTCTTTTCCATATCAGTGCTTCAGGTTCTCAAAAGCTCATTAAACATTCCTAGTATTGTAAAAATACACCTAACTTGTTGACAATAGGTAAAATAAATGTACAGTACAGATTTTTGCTGATTCTGTACCTCCTTCATTTTGTTTCATAACTGGTGCTGAATGAATGTACTGTACTGTACGACCAACTAAAGTAAATAATGACACTAATAATGCCCAAGCCCGAGTAGTTTCTGCATTAAAAAGACACCCGTATTAAAATGATCAGAATTAATGCTAATATCTCGACTCCTCTCTTTTCTTCTGTGGGATTAATATTAAAGTTAATGGTAGAATAATAAAATGAATTGTTAGGAATAGAGTACTCAAAGCAAATGGAAATAGCAAAGATCATCACAGTACAGTACTTTACAACACACTATATCCCAGCTATAAGTTAAATCATTAAACTTTTCAATGCCGTACTTTATCAAATGGTTATGCGGGCACCCAATCGTTCACCTACAATGCACAGTGCAATTTTAGTTCCAATTATATTAACGATAAACCTTTATTTTAAAATAATAAATGTTACGAATAAGCCTACTGTAAATGAGAAATCCCAGGTTTAGGCCTATGTGGATAAGCCACACCGCTACCCATAGAAATGTGAGCACATTTCTATGCCGCCACCGTGGTTCATCAGATCACTATGGGAATGATAATCAGTTGTTTTAATGTACTGAGGTCCTTCACTAGTTGTACATATTTTCTATAATCACCATTCATAAGTCTGTCATGATACTAGAAAATATTTATAAAAAACTATGCAAGATATTCTTTTAATCTGTATAGGTTTTGGCAGTGATAGAAGTTAGGTTATTGTGTGTAGATTTAGTCACGATAGGATATTTTTCATAGATTAGGTTAGGATGTGTTTCGTTCTGTTTGGCTTGTTCTAAATATGTTTGGTGAGGTTAGGTTTGATGTGATAGGTTAGTTATGTTTAGGTTTAGTTGAAACGCTGTGAAGGAAGACAAGACACGTCACCTGCGGGAAATCTTGAACGTTTAAAAGTAACATTTTTAATGACGCGAGACTTTGTTACTACACTTTGTATTTATAATATCTCTATATAAAAAACAAACAGATAGTGCGAACAGTAGCTCAGTGGACTCGAAAACACCAGCCATAGGAAGACTTCTTGATAACGAGCCAATACGAGTTCTTTGATCTCATGGCTATGTCCACCAATCACAGCTCTAAGATCTTGTGACGTTTCGTGACGTCATGGACCTGCCTCCTCTCGCCACGAATCGACGTGAAGTAAACAGTTCCCCGGGAGGAGCAGTGAGGAACAGGGTAGCGCTCTCGATGTTAGGTGTATTTATGTGATTAACGCACTTCAAGATGGCAACGCCGAAGCAAGTAGTGAGTATATAATTTAATCGAATTACTGTCGTTCATTTCCAAGCAAAATTAGTTACTTCATCTGTGTAATTACGATAATACCGAGTGAATTGCGACGTAGTACAGTGGGAAGGAGGCGATGCATGAGGTCGTTGTTTGGGATGATCAGCTGTTTGGCTCACTCCTGACGCAAGTGTTCCTAGGCTCCTGTCCGTGACGGTGACGTATGTGGATACAGGAGGACTTGTCACCGCACAGGGGATGATTCTGATGGTGTCCTTCCCCTCTCATAGTAGATGAGTGTAGTCAATGGAGAGGAGAGTGTGAGAGCGTGTATTAAGTGTTATTAGAGATGTGCGCTTTGTCTTGAATCTTGATCCTGCGTCTGCCATTGACTAGGATAATGTGGATTCTCAATTTAAAACGCCCGAATGTAATAATGCATACCTGTACAATGTTTTATGTATATAAATGACATTTTAGGTATTATAATAGGTGTTTATATTGTAGCACAAGTTATTACAAAAATAAAATTTGGTAAATGTGTAGTTTATGGCAAACACCAGAAATTGCTTGTTGATTTGGTTGAAAAATTTGCTACACACTAATAGCATGCTAATAAACGCAGAAATGGAAACGACAATACATAGAACCTGACCTAACATACCCACCATAGGTTGGGTATGTTAGGTCAGGTTTTATTAGGTTCTATGCATTATCGTGTTAATTTATGTGTGAAACAACTTAACTTAATATTAAGGTTGGTATATACAACAGCAATGGCGAGTGGGAATTCTTGAAAGTATTTACCATCGTTTAAGAAACGTCTCTTGAAGAGGGATTCAACGAGATAACAAAAATGGCGCCGGGAGGAGAATTGTGAAGCGGGATAGAGTAAATCCTAAACTACTTAAAATTATAGCAAAAATAATGAAGATCACCAAACTCCTGCTGCTGTTAGCCATTAACTACACCTTTACCCAAAATTTTAAGTTGAACACTATTGTTCCTAACCAAACTTTCAGTCTTTATGACTAGATGTACATATTGTATTGAACTATTATGCAAGTGCATTACATACATTCTTTTAAAGCAAAATTAAATGTTACTTGTAATGTTAATAGAAGATGTATAATGTTATCTTGTACATTACTATACTGTACTATTGTTGGCTCTTATCAGTGTGATGTGCACTGTGACCCACTGAGTACCATACAGTAACATGATTCGGAAATTTCTAAAAACTGCATTTTTGAGAAAATATTTCATACATTGTATATGAATAATGAAAAACACTTCAAATTCAAACATAAATCAGTAGAATTTTAATGTAAATTATTAAAATTAATAAGGGATAAAAGTCAGTTACTGTACTTATAAAGCGTTGTATGTCCTGTCCACTGGCACATAAGCCACGCCATCATAATTTTGTGTAATAGGAATTTGTTTAGGAGTACAGTACTGTTTAAATTTATTTCCCATTTTAAATGTGTTAAGCATAAGATGCACTTTGGGACAACTCTTTATGATGATTTTTAGAAATACTGTACAGTACTGTAAAGGAAAACACGGATCACTTATTGAGTAGACACCCTAACATACTTCACTAGATGACTGAACACCGTAATACCCTCCCCCCACCAGGTAGTGTTAGGAGGTTTTAATCATGTGACAACCTCCACATTTAGGACCAATAGCCACCAAGTACCTCCCAGAAATGAAATACCAGCTGTATGAAAACAAAAATAATTCTGTTATCACGAAGCTAAATAAACCACCAAAAAGAACCACCTTCTATGCTCACAGACCAAGATTGTAGAAAGGCCCAGAATCCACTTCAACTCTCTCAACCGCCATCCCGCACCTCTTTACCCTAATGTAATTCATCCTATTCACAAGTCGTTATTCACCTAGTCCTCGTGACAAGAGCCTCAACTAAAACCTTTCACCCGCTACCCCTCTCATACCCAGCAACGGTACACGGCGATAAACTACTCCATTGAACACAACAATGAACAGACGTACAAGAACTGCTTAGCACACTTTCTCTCAGGTTGCCAAGCCCTCGTCAGAGATATCAATGTCCTGTGCATCTCCTGAATCCTCTCAAGTAGGATTCCTCAGAGATGTGCAGTTCTCCTCCACCCTCATCAACCTACTTCTCCACGGTCTTTCTCCACCACTCAACACATGACTTAGCGATAGTCTTCCAACATACAAAATTTCTTGTGGTCCTCAAACAATCACCAACACGCTCTATGATTAAGGATCTGGGTTCACAATTGAAAAATTCGAATAATTAGTCTTAATTAATGACCTTAAATATACCTGTATTTCGAATATTTTAAAAATCAATGACGTGTTAAAACTTGGAGTGAGCCTGTCTTAGACTGTGAGGGCCGCACTTGTGTACCGCTAATTCGCTACTAATTGGTTATGATTTCCATCCCTTGACTGTTCGACGCCAACCAAAATACAACCAACGTGTGAATATAGCCATGAGAATTAGTATTGAAGAACATATAATGGGAGCTTTGTGAGGTACGGTGCCAGATCATTTGATTGCAGCTCCGTACCAGAGGGAATATTTTTCCTAATGTACAGCATAAGTGAGAGACAGCAACTAGTTACACTGGAGCAGGAGAGTACATCTGTAGGCTGCTCAACCACACGTAGTTACCCGCAAACACCTTTTTTTATGACAATATTGATAAGAAAATATTTTAATTAAACCTTTATACTCCATATGTACATTTTAGTGTTTTGAATTCTGTCTCGTCCACGGAAGGTTATGGTAATATCAGTATGGTGCCCACACTCGGTAGGGGCAGGTACCGTACGTAAGATAAATACTTAATGATAATTGTTTGCTGTAGGTTAGTTTTTACAGTCTCTTGGACCTTAAGACAGAGATCACTTACCGACTTTACCGTTTATCTGTACGGTGTTAGAAAAATCATATAATTGTGATACATAAGACGTATTATTTGAGATATTCAATTCATATGAGTAACTGCGGTTTCAGTCATGGGATGTCATATAAAGCATAATGAAGTTTTATCGCCAGAACCCCTGTACGGGCCGGTGACGCGGCAGTCTTGAGTTACCATATCCTGTTACAGTCATTGGTCCAGGGTTGAGAGGGTCTGCTCTACAACAGGGAGGCTGGTGGGGTCCGGATTCTGAGAGCTTCGCGCGGAGAATATATGCCTCTTAACTGAACATATAAACATTCACTTTACTGATTGACTCAAGTTAAAGTCACGAGCCACGAGTAGTATTCAGCCGGCTCATGGACTCAGTAATTGTAATGTGTTGCTCATAATATCACCAGCTTGTGAATACCAATTGTGACTGACTGAGATCTCCCTAAGGCGAGTTGATGGTCACTTGCTGCTGTTATAAGTGACAATGGACTCAAGAACATAGCGTGAAGATCAGCGATTATTTTTCCACGAAATTAGATGCACGTGGAAGTAGTTATCGTGACTTGCCGTAATGTATAATTTATTACTAAGGTCCCGTTGGTTGTTTTTTTTCTATGTATGCAAATTTTTATGTTGGTGTTAGTACTGTAGATATACATTAATAGTGTTTATTACTGTAGCTGTGGCGTGGCTAACCAGTTTAGTCATTGTATTATGTATAGGCCAGGGAGGTTAGGTGTACAGGCTGGCAGTATTAACTAATTGAGTACAGTATTGATAAGTATATTACACATACAGCTTATTGTATATATGATCAGGCTGATAGTCGCCGTATGTATTATGCATCTGGGTCATTATTATGTAACCATGGAACAGCGAGAGCATTGCGTCACTGTATCGGGGTCGAGACTTAGTTTACGTGAAGGTAGTTTAGTTATTTACTCTCAGTTGCATGGAGGTCACGTGGCTCTTAAATATATTAACTTAACACAGGTGAATCCAGGGCGGGGCCAACCAACCTGTTCGCCACCTCCCGTGACTATGACTTCCCTACAGGAACCCTCGCCTCCCTCCCGCGGTAACGAGTTCTTCCACAACTTGACGGCGACTTTCACCCTCTCCTCCATGCCGTTTATTTTTCCTCCTTCATCGTGATTACTCCTTCCTCCCCTTGCAACCCCTCCCCCTCTCCTCTTACTCCCCCCTTAGCGTCTACCTATCTGCTCCCCTATAACTACTCCTCTCACTAAGGCAACGTTCTGATATTCATTGTTGTAAAGTACAGTAATTCTGATATCACCCTCAGTCACCTAACAGAATGCTGGCAGTCGTACGTTTTGAAATACTTCCGGAAGAGGGCGTCCACGGGCTCATATACTGCACTGTTATTAGGCCAGACACGGTATTCACAAGCCCCCGTTCTTTAATAGTATTCCTCTTAACTGGGGATGAATGTAGCTACCGGTAGAGACTGGGTCCATTTATCGCATCATTTTGAGTTTATTTAAGTTTAACTAGTAGAGGACGAACGAATTGAGAATGGTGAATGTGTATTAAAAAAAATAGGCTTTGGTGTAGTAATAAAAGAGAAAATAAAAATTACTAGAATGAGAAGATCAGGAAGAGGATTGGAGAGGGAGGTAGGGAGGTAACGGGAAGGGAGGTTAGAGGAGTCCTTTGTTGACAAGGCAAGTGAGAGAATGGAAGCCAACAGGAGAGAGGGAGTATAAATGACAACAACGGTAAAAATATAAACATTCATCCGTTTTCATTTCACAACACATCCCCCCCCCCCTGTTCACAGGTAGGATACTTGATACCTAACTTGTGTCGTTTGTCCTTGAGTCCCATCAATATTTTTCAACTTTCCTCACTTGTCACGGATAATATTTGTGTGCTTCGCGTGTTCGGTGTGTGGCTACAAGAGGAGGAAACAACTGAGTAACCATCCCTTGACTAGCTAGTATGATAGATTACGAGGATAGTCAATAAAAATCCCAAATCTCACTTCATCATTCGTTTCCCGTCGCCACGTTGCTCACGAAGCGTCTAATACCGTTATTTTGGCCCTCACATTCCTCCTTCTCTTCCTCG